GATCAATAAGTTTTAAAAGGAACAAGAATAACTCTTAAGGTACCAAGTTAATGCACACAAACACAGAGTATTTTCAAAACTCTTCTCTCTTATAATAAAACTTCTTAAAATCAATCACAAAAAATGTGTAATTAATTAAAAGTTTATTTAACATTTAGAAAGGTAAAATATATTGGTCGATCAAATAAGCCTTTCAGCTAATCGATTAAGTCAAAGTGTATCACCTCTTAATTGTTTATGAATCAACTAAGTGACGTCATAAATAAAACTTTCTTATTTTGGCTTGTACTAACCGATTAAAACATGTTTTAATCAATTAAAAGTTGAAAAAGAAAACTTTGAAAAAGGCCATGAATTTTTTCATTTAGGAGCCACATTTTCCTATATAAAGAAAATTTCTCCTCATTTTGAAATACACTAGTTTTATAATATAAACTCTTCACTATCTTTCTTTCTCCCATTCTTTTATAAAATTCTTTTTTCACTAGAGTTGACTTAATGGTAAAAGAGTGAAAAGTTTTACCTGAGAGTTGTGTTATACTGATGTTTGTTGGATTTGAGACTTCACACACAATAAGAGAGGGGGTGAATTATGTGATTTGAAAAATATGGTTTTGAAAACTTTTGACAATTTAAATAAGAGTTTGAAAACATTTTCTAACTCTAAGCAGCAGAAATAAAATATTTAAAGTGCAAAAATTAAAAAGTTAAAAGAAGAAGAAGAACACCAAAAATTATACAATCCCTTCCAGAATTACAATGGAGACCTCACTCACAAATGGTAATTTCCTCACAAAAGAAGTTGGTTATAAAAACTAGTGAGAGAAATTTAAAATAAAACTTTAGAGTGAGTGAGAGAGAGATAGATAGATAGATAGATAGATAGATAGATAGATAGATAGATAGATAGATAGATAGATAGATAGATAGATAGATAGATAGATAGATAGATAGATAGATAGATAGATAGATAGATAGATAGATAGAGAGAGAGAGAGAGAGAGAGAGAGAGAGAGAGAGAGAGAGAGAGAGAGAGAGAGAGAGAGAGAGAGAGAGAGAGAGAGAGAGAGAGAGAGAGAGAGAGAGAGAGAGAGAGAGAGAGAGAGAGAGAGAGAGAGAGTGAGTTTCAATACAAAAATTCTATTCAGGATGATTTGAAATGAGAAAAGGAAATAACATTTAAGCCAAAAAGATATTATTTAATCAATTAGAACTTTTTCTAATCAGTTAATTTTTGAAAATCAAACGTATATAAGTTCCCAATATGGAAAAATAAGATATATAGTCGTTGCAGAGAATCTGGGTACATTCAACTTGTCTTGCGCCTCAAGTTTGCGCAAATCTATTCGGTTAGCATAATCGATTAAATATAGTTAAAAATTTGTTTATGTCTTTTTGATTGCTCTCATCCCATCCTATACAACTTCTATATGTTTTTTAAAGTATTTTCTTTTGGTAAATCATTTGAGAAAAAGTTTTAGCGTGTGTGTGTGTGTGTGCTTATAGCCATATACTTCTATGAAAACGACCATTTGCTTTTACATAATTTCACTCATTTACTAATTTATGATATTTTCTCTAAGCCTTTGTCGGTTGTAATCTTTTTGCGTTGACACTTGCTTAAGATCTCTTGAAGCTTTTGATAGAATCCTGTTTGTTTGTCTTTATCTAATAGTCATGTTTATCAAACCTTTATACACATGACTTGCATCTTTAATCGCTTAAGTGCATTATTTGACTTATCATTGGTGGTATTTTTATCACGATGGATGTCTCTGTACTTTTTTTTATAGTTGTTATCATCAAAAGATGTTGTCTTGATAAAAGGTCAGTTACCTATAAAACAAGGTTCTACATTGTTATGCTGGAAGTGTTTACTAAAGAGCATAATTATCTTGTTATTTATTTGTAATAAGATTTTTTAAGGTTGCAAGCTGAACTTGAAAAAAGTTTGGGTGAAGGTTATTGATCTGAGTGTGTGTAAAATTCATATTTAAGATTATTGAGTTGAGTGTGTGTAAAAACTTTGATTGTTGTTGTGAGATTTTTTGGATATCTTGAGCAAAATCTCAAGTTGTTTTATAAGCCTAGTGGACCGACCTATGCAAAATCTCTAATTTGTTTTAGTGAAAATTTCAAAGAGAAGCTCTTGGAGACTAGAGTATGCCAAATGGTTTAGCCCGAGCCGAGATAACTATCTACTCTTTTATTTTATGTTATTTATTTTGATTCCGATATTTATTTCTCTGTCTCTTCTATTCTTTATTATTCCACTACTTCTTCTTTGCTTTCTCATATCATCTAATATAATCGTTTCAAATTCTTTATAAATTAATTTTTTAGACATTTGAATATCACAATTCACTATCCTCTTGTGTTTGAAATTACTTAATCAACAATTTATAATAATTTTATTTGTCAAATAATATATAAATTCAAAATGAAAATGAATAAAATGCGTGTGAATAATTATGTCCGATATTAAACACTTTTTAAAACCTTATATCTCAACATCAAATATGCAAATAATTTTATAATATTTTTAAAAGAATTAACTTATTATAAACATTCAATGGTGTATTTGTAAAAAAAAAGTTTAACTACTACTATTCTTCAAAATAAAAACTTATTGTGTGAATACATTTTCAAAGTGTTTTATTTGTTTATATACTGTTTTAGAATACATATTTATTTTTATTTCTTAGTTAAAATAAAAATATTTTTAAAGTGAATTATTGAAATAAAAAATAAAATATTAATAAGAGCTAATACAACTCTAGAAATAAGGATTACCATGTCATTTTGAATATTTCTAAAAACCACGATTCATTTAAAAAATACATTTTATATTTTCTAACATATAAAATTATTATAGTATTTAAAAAATAAATCATTTTAGCATCCATTAAAACAATTTAGTTAAAAGCCTTACATAAACACAATTTGTGAATCTTATTTATTTATTTTTAAAAAATAAACTCTATTATTAAACTATTAAATAAAAAAAATTATAAATTAAAAGAGTACAATCCCTCCTTTAAAAGCTTTCAATAGTTTAGAGGATTTGTTACAATCGATTAATCATCGATGATAGTCTTATTAAAAGAGGTCATTTTGGTCTCACTTGTTGCAGCTTTTATCATGTAAGAGAGGAGTCTATTTCACACTTTTTTTTTCTTGCCTTTTTTTTCATAATTTATGACAATGGTTCTTTTCTCTGATTAAGGTCTCTCAACCTATGGACATTTTTGAAACTCAAAAAATCCACGGCAGAAGTTAGAGCAAGTAGTGTAGTGTCATAATCCAGACGACCATTATCTCTATTTGCAACAATATTTAGAAAGTTAGAAATAATATTAGGTACATCGACTGCAGGGTTCACTAGAGGCAGACATTGAGTTTGATTCAATCAGAGGTGACTTTCATTGGGAATAATACTAAAAAAGTTGCTAATTCTTCGATTCACGACTTCACTATAACTAAGACTTTCAATGTCAATCTCAATCCTCCTAAAGCTCCTAAAATTGTGGAAGTTATCTGGAATCCTCATTTGAATGAGTGGTTAAATGTAACACCCACATTTCCTTTGCCATCTCGGAAGCTTCTTGTGAAGGGATATTTTGTAATGGTTTAGGGGACTTCATTTTTACTTTCTTTGAATGGTAATTCAGCATTTCATACTGAACTTTTTGATGTGGATAGAGCCATTGAGTATGCCTATCAATTTGGTTGGTATAAGCTAGATGAAAACAGATTCAATGATGACCATAATAACTATTCAAGACTCCAAAATTGTCCCTTGAAATTTTGTCTCTAGATAACTTAATGCTATGACTATTGCTAGGTCGATGGAGTTTAACATCACTCACAAAAAAAAAGTAATCGGTGCACTAATTTGCTTATCTCAAAAGCTTCCCCTTGGCATTCAATCTTGTTTGAGAGTCTTCTCCAAATTTCTTCTTCCTATTTTGTATATGATACATTTGATAAATTCAATTTCAATTTTGATGCTGTTTAAATGAGTTTTGGTTTGATCTCTCACTTTTTCTTTTAATAGTATTTTCCGTTATGCTTAAAAAAAAACCAATTTTACTAAATCACAATAATACAAAATTTCATTTATTTTTAAAATTTTATTTTGCAGGTTAATTTTTACTTTTCTAAACGGTAAATAAAATTGAGTGAAATAAAAAAAAATGAAAGGAAATTAAATATTGATTTTATTATTAATGGGCCCACGTGTCACAGTTTGATTCGCGAAATACCCACTAGCCCAATGGGTCAGTTTGAGTGGGTTGAGTTTAAATTCACCCTTTCACTTCACGTATTTATCTCTCAACCCCATACGACTTGGCTCTGCGGCACTTGCAAACCATTTGCATTTGCGAAGTCTCCAATAAACTCGCGCAGCCACCAACACTCCTTTTTCTAGGGTAATAATAAAACCTACTTCTCTCGTATATTATTTACCTATCAGGTTTTCTTTTTTGTTCTTGTTTCTTAGGTTAATCTATATTCTTTTGAACTGAATTTGCTTGATCTGTAAGCGGAATCTCTCACTTTTGATTGATATTTCAAAAATTTAGTGTTTCTGGTGTGTTTTATAATTCATCAGTTAATTAGATCTATTGTTTCGATTTCGTTTGTGAGATGAGATCAGAGCCTGCTAGTTTTGTTTGCTTTGAAATTGTGTTGTTTGTTGATGGAAATTAGTTTATTATTTGTGATCTATGATTGTATTGTTTATTATGAAGATCCTCTGGGAGTTTGATATTTCAGTTTCTGTAGCTTTGGATTGCATAACAGATCTGGTGTAATAGAGATTGATTCATCTATATTTTGTTGAATATGTTTTTTCAAGTTTTTCTATCTATGAAAAATGTATTTATTCAGTTTGATGTGCTTCATAGTTTTGGATACATATGTGTTGTTCTGTTACTGTGGTGATCTTTAATTTACCAACATTTTGTGTGTAACTTGCATGGTTCAGGAAAGTCATCATGGTTGATCAGGTTCAGCGCCCAAAACTCTTCCAGAATGTTGCACGCCACACAGGTCTTTCAATGTACCAACAGAGGTCATTTGGGAATTACACCAACCCTGCATTCCAGTGTCCAGTGATGCCGGCATGTGGAGCTACAATGACTGATTTCTCTACTATTGCAACAACAGCTTCCCCTGTTTTTGTTGCAGCTCCCGCTGAGAAAGGAAACTTTGTTGTTGATTTTCTCATGGGAGGAGTTTCTGCTGCTGTATCAAAAACCGCTGCTGCTCCCATTGAACGAATTAAGCTTTTGATCCAGAATCAAGATGAGATGATTAAAGCTGGTAGACTTTCTGAACCCTACAAGGGAATTGGTGACTGCTTTAAGAGGACAACTGCTGATGAAGGTATTGTTGCCCTATGGAGAGGTAACACCGCAAATGTCATCCGTTATTTCCCCACTCAGGTTTGTTTTATTGTTTCTCCCTTTTGATTTTTAGTGTTAAATAGTGGCTATAGTATAGCGGGATTTGAACAATTTGAACAAGTCGCTGTTGACATGCAACATACAATTTATAAATGTTGTGAAATAGTTACTATGGTTGAGTTATAGCACATTTGTATAGCAGAATTTTAACAAACTGCTATTTCATGTGATCTGCCATTGATAACAATGGATTTAATTGCAGCCCCTTTACAATTGTTTTGGTTTGTTTAGTTGTGTGTGTGTGTGTGTGTCAGTTGCTAACTATGCAATTCAAATTTCTTTTAGGCTTTGAACTTTGCCTTCAAGGACTATTTCAAGAGGCTTTTCAATTTCAAGAAGGACAAGGATGGTTACTGGAAATGGTTTGCTGGTAACTTGGCCTCAGGAGGTGCTGCTGGTGCTTCATCCCTTTTCTTTGTCTACTCCCTCGACTATGCTCGTACCCGTCTTGCAAATGACTCAAAGGCTGCAAAGAAGGGTGGTGGAGGAAGACAATTCAATGGTCTTATTGATGTCTACAAGAAGACATTGGCAACTGATGGTATTGCTGGACTTTACCGTGGTTTCAACATTTCATGTGTTGGAATCATTGTCTACCGTGGTCTCTACTTTGGAATGTATGATTCCTTGAAGCCAGTTCTCCTAACTGGATCTCTGCAGGTTAGCATCCTAAGTTCTTTTAGTTTGACTGACTTAAGCGTGTTGACCCTTGATATTGGTGTTAGTTATGGTCTGTTCGCATTAATATTTGTGTTAGTTATCCAGACATGGCCTTGAACCAAAACAAGGCAAGAGAAGTTGGTTCTGATTTTTCTTGAGGATTTGAATTGAATCACTTACTGATAAGCTATTTCCATTTTGTTGTCCCTCGATCATCATTGCAGGATAGTTTCTTTGCTAGTTTTGGTCTCGGATGGCTCATCACCAACGGTGCAGGTCTAGCATCTTACCCAATTGACACCGTCAGAAGAAGAATGATGATGACATCTGGTGAAGCAGTCAAGTACAAGAGCTCCATGGATGCATTTTCACAAATCCTCAAGAACGAGGGTTTCAAGTCCTTGTTCAAGGGAGCTGGTGCTAACATCCTCCGTGCTGTCGCTGGTGCTGGTGTGCTTGCCGGTTATGATAAGTTGCAGGTCATTATGCTCGGCAAGAAGTACGGATCTGGCGGTGCTTAATTTTTGTTTTCGACGATGATGAAAATAAATTTAGTTTTGAGAATTGACCCAGTATTGCGGAAAATTTTGTTCAATAATTAGTACTCAATGATCCCATACTCATTTCCCTGGATCAGAATATTTAATATTTCTAGGTTTATGATTTATTTGAGTGACAGAAAAATGTCTGTCATATTGAATTTTATTTTGTTTGATTTGAATGTTTTGAGAGATACTCTATTTGTTATTTTATCTACTTAATTGTTAAGGAGTCACTCTTTCTACCCTTGATTAAAATCTATATGCACATTATGATTTCCATGTATTGGAATAAATTTCGTGCTACCTAATTTTGACATTGTTCTTTGGGTAAATAGCTTCTTGCTACACATTTAGGTGATTGCAGAAGCTATTTGTTATTTTGGGCATCAAAATGTGTGTTTAATATTTTTTCTTCCTAGTTAAAGGTGAACATGAATGAAGCGTTTAGTAATGTTTCAGTTTAATTCAAATATTGGAATTTAACATTAATCTGGTTGTTTTTCTTAAAAATATGTAATATTTTTTTAATTAATCATGTGTGGATCTGAGCCAACCATTATCTCGGCTCAAATTTTGGTGAACTTAATGTTTAAGAAGATTTCTGATTTTGGACCCGGACGTGCTCTACCACATCACACCCAAATCCCAAAGTAAATATCATGATGTTAAGGATTTGTCCGGATGTCGTAATTCAGATTCTTCTTTGATGTCACTAATTAATTACAAATTTATTCTGAAAGCTACATGCTTGAGTTTTTTCAAATTTTGAAATCTGTCACAAAATCATAATTAATTTCAGATAAGTTAACATAAATATTTGTTATCACATACACTAAATAAATAACATTACATAGATTTTTATTAGCATATATCTAATATGACATTTTATGATTAAGAGATGGTTGGGAATGTTTCAAGATTTTCAAAATATCGTTTGTCGATTTCATGATCAAGAGATGGTAAATGATGTTTCAAGATCTTTAGAACATCGTTTGTCAATCTCACCACTATCGCATCTACTTCGATTGAGCTCTTTGTTGCGTAATGGTGAAATGTATTTCACATTTCTTAAATTTTCACCCGTGTTCAGCTCGAACTTGTTGAGCTTCACATTTTAAAATGGTGTTATGATCATGAAGATCATGAAGAGTGATATACATGCAAAGTGATAGTCAAATTCAATTTTCTCGTTTGGATTTTTGGAGGATGTAATCGGGATTGTGTCCGGAGATTAAATTTCAGACATATTTTTGGCAAAAATGGTGATGTCTCTCTGATTTAATGATTTGGTGTAAAATAAGTGTGTTCAAAATTTGAAATCAGAACAAAATACATGACATTTTGGGTTTCCATTAGGTGTGTGATCACTACATGAGGTGTAGTGAACAACACCCTATCTCTGGAGTTGACTTATTTGAGTTTAATTGAGAAATTATGAGTTTTTGCATATGTATGATTTTGCGATGAAAAAAATTGATTCAGAGTGAATTGATTCTGAAAAATTGATTTTGAGTAAAAGTGAGTGTAAAGTGATACATGTGTATAGAAATTCTTGCAAAAATTAGTTGAACAGTATAAAAATCATGTTTAGACTTACAAGATACAAACTTATCAAAATTAATTTTACACATCTAAAATCAATTATAAGTGCTTCAATGGTGAAACCAAACATACATTTATTTAATTGAACTGATATAATATTTCATCAGATAAGATAATATAGTCGGTCCAAAAATTGATACTTTGTCTTGTTCACATTCCACTTAGAGCACCTACCGTAGTGATACTCCTCAGTGGCTATTTTGTAAGTCCTATTATACCACATCTTTGAACAATTCATCTAGTTTGTGATTTAATGATGCGAACATAGTTATATGGTGATTAATTATGTAATGTTGTTTTTGTGATTGTTGGATAATAGTTCAGATGATGAGACTACTATTATATTGTCAATGCATGTTGTTTACGGTATGAATAAGCCTTAAACACTATTATTGTTGTTGCATTGACTTGTATGGCATGCATCATATATTGTCGTTATTGTGAAAAAGAAGATTCACGAGTTTTGATGAAGGGGCTAGTGACTTGTTCGGAGCTTAGATGAGGGGGCTCATGGTTTACATGTTGGGACTCGGTTTGTATGAAGAATCATTGTTGATTTGCTACGACATGCATACAGAGTCGAGATGTTGTCACATTGCATATATGTTCACATTGTGAATAGTGATTGAGCATGATTGTAAATTGAATGATTTGATTGAGCAGTGGAGTTGTATCTTTGGTTTCAATTGAGTTGTGTTAAATTGTTGTAATTGAAATGTATGAGGTTGGTGTTATGCTTAAGGCTACCCTTGAATTCTTTTACACCATTATATATTTTTTAGCGTATTCTCACCCCTCTGTTGTTGTGTTTGGTGTTGATGTACGATGTGTACAAATACTCAAGAACATGAGTAGTAGCTGCTGTGAGTTGGAAGGTGGCCTAGGAACTCATATTCGTTTATTTTTTTATCGTTATCGTACTTAGTGGTTGTTATACTCTAATCTGTAACATCAGAAACGAGGCCTTTGTTTTGTTGTCCAGTTATTTTCAGATTGTGATAATTCGTTAAAGTTTTTTTTTATTGAGATAATTGGAGTTATGATGATTAATTGATTTCCACTGCGAATAATTGAACTAAATGAGAAAGTGTGCATGTTTTATTCGAGTAACATCCTAAATTGGGTGAATAATTCTTTTAAAATAAGTCTCGGGGTTTAGGGTGTTACACCCCCAAGATGATTTCTTCTTTCCTTTATTGTGAGAATACACATGTTGAGCAGGATGCTGGGACATGTGGTCTTTCATCAGGAACTCATTTTTCTTCATAGGAGAGACTAACTTCTTAGTGGAGATTTTAACCTTTTTGTTCATGGAATTGTAGTCAAACCATACAATCTTCATGTTCCCTGTCATAACATCTACCATATCCGAATCATTGGTCATTATACTATGAAACTTAGTCAAATCCTCAAGTTTGGAATTCATCAATGTTACTCCCTCGGTCAACCCAATGATGATTTAAAGAGCTTTCTCTTTTTCTTGAAGAAGAGAACTTATGGTTTTCTTTTGTTTTTCCCCAATCAAGTAAGCTTCCCCCAATTTATTTTGTAAAAGCTTAAATGTTGCAACCATTTCTTCTTCAATTATGTCTTCATCACTAGAGTCTTCTCCAGACTCATACTTCTCAGTGAAAGTTATTACTTTGTTAAATGTTTCTTCTTCACTTTCATCATCATATTCAGACCAAGTGATTGACAATCTCCTTTTCTATTTCTTTAGAAATGTAGGACATTCAACTTTAATGTGAGAAAACCATTCACATTCATGACATTGAACTCATTTGCCTTTGTTTGATTTGTCTTCATATTTGCTTTTGCTTTGGGAACTAATGTATGATCCCTTGTCTTGGACAGTTGTCCTCTATTATTTGTCCAACCTTCTCAAGGAATTGTTAAAATTTCTTCCAACAAGTTCTATAGCATCTGATAAGCTTTCATTTTAATCTTTATTCTCTTAAGTTTTGGATACAAAGGCAATGCTCTTGTTCTTATTTTCAGATTTATCACTTATGGAAATCTCAAATGTTTGCAAGGAACCAATGAATTCATCAACTTTCATGCTGCTTATGTCTTGGGCTACTTCAATAGCTGTAATCTTCATGTAAAACTTCCTAGGAAGAGATCTTAGAATTTTTCTGACTAGTTTTTCTTCAAACATATTCTCTCCTAAGGCAAATGAGGTGTTGGTAATATCACGAATTCTAATTTAAAATCATAGATGGATTCATCTTATTTTATTATCAAATTCTCAAACTGTGTTATGAGAAGTTGCATCGTTGACATACACACTTTGGACGTGCTTTAATGAGTAGTCTTAATAGTCTCATATGGCTCTTTAGCTTCAGTATAAGTGTTGATTAGTCTAAACATATTTTTGTCAACACAATTGAATATAGCATTCAAGTATTTTTCATTTGCAAGAGTTACATCATATTCATCTTTAGACCAAATCTTGAGAAGTAATCACATGATGTTTCTAACCTTTAATCACAACCTTCTAAGTTTTGATGTTTGTAGGTTTAAGAAAGGAAACCATCTTTCCTTTCCAATAATCATAATTTGTGTCATCCAAAGTAGGTGGTCTATTGATAAACCCTTCTTCCTTAGTGCTATCCATTTAAACAGAAAATATCTTCCCTGGAGCTCACCCAAAAAGAACAGGATGCCTACTCAGATGCCATTTGAAATTCTATTGCTAAAGGGACACATGTTGGACTAGATATCTGAGATAACTTGTCCAACTTGTTAAACCAGATCTAACACAATATGATAGCAACAATAATACAAGGTAAAATCAACAAAGAACACAACAGAACTCACAACCCATTTCAGTGCAAACCACACCTACATTAGAGGGGCATCCAACCCAAGAAAGGAAATCCACTTTTCTATATAATTAGTACATAGTGTCTTAGATAAACAAGCCCCTTGTTCAATGCTCTTCTTCTTAATTCTACCCTAGTGTCTTTCTATTTAGGACTTCCCCTGAATATAAGAACCCCCTCTCACTTTCTCTCAATCACTAATTCCAAGTGATCAACATCAATAAACACAATTATAAATATTGAATTACAACTTAACTAAACAAACCAACTACTGTGTCTTATGATATAAGTGAATCAATAACACGGTGTACAAGAAACAAAAACAAAATACTCAAATAAAACCTAGCACAAGGAATCTCCAATCCTAGTGTACACCCTCAATGATGAGGTGAGAGTCTCCTTAAATAACAATGCAAATATGAGTCTTTTCTCCTTTGGATATTTGATCTGATCTCATTATAGTTGATATTGTTGGATTTGATTTGTTCAACAAAAGTCTCAAACAAAATATATGATGTGTTTTAAATTAAAATTCAAATTTAAATATCTATT